GGGGAGCTGGAGCCCCGAGAAGAAAGTTGCGGGTGCAAATGGGAGGCTGAGGGTTCGAAGGAAGGACTGAGGTTGGAGAATGTTGAGGGTCTGAGGTAAGGAGGGGAGAGCGAGCTTGGTAGGGCGTCGCAGAGGCATGGAGGTGACCATCCACCCCTCCGCTCCTCCGCTCGCGCTTCCCTCAGGCTGGAGGGGCCGCGGGCACGGGCACTCACAGATGGGCATGTCGTTGCAGCAGTCCGTGAGACCGGTGTGCCAGTCACTGGACTGGGTCTGGTAGCAGTTGTTGCTGGCACACTGGGGCTGGGTGGTCACTGGGTAGGACATGGCTGCAGAAGTAGGGGCAGGTCAGCGGCTGCCTCCCAGGGCCTCCTGGCCCTCCCCCTGCTGTGCCTCCCTCTGCCGGGCAGACTGGGCGGAGCCACTAGGCCGCCCCGGAGGGGACACTCTGCCTTCCCCTTCCCTACACCGGGCATCCCCGTTGCTGCTGGCTCCAGCACATCTGTGATGCTGAGGTGGGGGTGGGGGCCTGCTCTTGGGTAGGTGCCACATCTGGGCAGGCCGGGAAGTGCCGCTGCCTCCTCCACCTCTGGGCCTGGGGTGCCGTGTTCCTGCGATTCAGGAGGGCCTCTGGGGCGCAAGCAGGTGCCATCTGTCTTCGAAGTCAGGGTGCCCAGGGGAGGGAAGTGGCCGGTTCCGGGGACTGGAAGGGTTCCCAGTCCATCCGGCGATCCCACCTTTGCCTTTCACGCGGTCGTGCATCTCATACTGCATCTTGCTGGCCCTGAGGAGGTGGCGTTGGGGACGGCAGAGGTGGCAGCGGTGACAGCGGCAGAATCTGTCCAAGGGATGCTGGGTATTGGGGGAGAGGAGGGCGAGGGGCAGGGGCACTGGGGGTGGGTTCTGATGGGGAAGGGAGCTGGGGAGAGAGAGGCCAAGTCAGCCTGCCAGCTAGGAGAGACACGGAGTGGGGGTGGATGGCACCGGGCGAGAGGCTCGCCCATCACTGTACAGCTGCCCGACAGACCCCAGAGGACCCTCCTTGTACCAGAGGGAGAGCTGGAGAGACACACCGAGAGTCAGGGGCAAGGGGGGAGAGACACCAGAGCCAGGTGCCAGGAGATGCTGCCAGCGATGCTCACACCTGCCCAGCTGAACTGCTCTGCAAGCCCATTTCACAGGCAGAACACCGAGGCCCAGCAAGGTGAGGAGAAATGTCCCGCATCTGATGACTCCGGTCAAGAGAGCTAGTAGAGAACATGCTAGACCCCAAGACCTCCAGATTCAACCCAGTGCTACTCAAGGTGAGAAGAGGGAGAACCCAAAGAGCAACGAGAAAGACCTGCTGACAGAGAGCCAGCTAGAGCAGTGCCAGCAGGCAGCTGTGAGGGGGGCGGGGAGCATCGGAGGCGCCCGCAGGTCCGCCGCAGAGCAGAAGGCTGCGGCTTGTGCACCTACCTGCAGGTCTTTGAAGGCGCTGACAGAGGTGACTGGGACACTGAGTTCTCACCCTCAGCTGGAGCTGCCGCTGCTTATATTCGGGCGGGCCACTAGGGCCTGGGCGGGGCGCTGACCAGGAGCCAGGCAGCCAAGCCGGTCTGGCTGACTGTCTTCCCCCCATCTGGACTTCCCCTCCCTCTCTCTGCATCCCTCACCCCTCTCTGCCTCCCCTCCCCCCTTCGCAAGGAGGGGGTCCATGAGTGGGCAGCTGGAAGTGGAGCTAGGGAGAGGCGTGGGCAGGCAAAGCGAGAGATGGCAGAGTGGACAAGACAGATGGAGAACGGTGCAGAGCCAGAGAGGCACAGAGGTCTGGGGAAGTTAGCAAGAGGGGGACGAGATTCAGAGAAGAGGACACACAGATGGTCAGGGAGCGAGGCAGGTGGATGGAGAGGCCGCTCAGCTAAGGGAAAGAGGTGAGGAGAAAGGGTGAGGTGCCAGAGAGAGCCGCCTGGGCACTTCCCTGGGCCTTTCCCATCATCCTAAAAGAGGCCCCGCTTTGCTGGGAGAGGGGCATTATCCTTCCAGTCAGGGCTGTATGGCACTGGGGGGGGGCAGTGTGTTTTGGGGGTGACACATGCTGGAACCAAAGTAAATAAACAAACCTCACCCCACTTCCAAACTGGGAAGGGAGAAGGCTGGGAACGGGGAAGCTGTGGTTATGAAGGAGGATGAAGTGGCCAGGACTCTGGGTTCTTGCAGAGCAGAGGATGCTGGGCCTGAGGGGGCAGGGCTGGGGTCTGGTCGCTGGTCCCTAACAGGAGGGAGAGGGGGACAGACTCCTGGATCCGAAGGAGGGGCTGGAGGGTTCAGACTCTTGGGTTGGGCTATGCGGCTCCCCTAAGTGGGGTGGGGGGTCCAGGATTCAGGGCTGTTGGGTTTTTGAGGGTGAAAGAGCTGAGTCTCCCCCCAGCTGGCCTGGCAGGATTGGAAGTGACTCAGTGAGGGAAGCAGCATCAGAGCCGGGTGGGGTTCTCAGCACGGGTGTCACTCCAAAAAATGTAGGAGGCACCGGAAAATTGGGGTGTCACCTGTAGAGAAGGTGGTGTCATCACTCCACAGGGTATGCGGTGAGGGCAGGTGGATTGCCCTGTTGTCCTGGGATCCTGACTTTCCCTCTACCTCTTGGTCTAACTCCGGAACCCGAGGCTCGATGGGCCAGCACCATCCAGAGGGCCCCGTCCTTGTCGCACACCTCAGGCCGTGTTCAGTGACTTGATCCATCATTGACCGGGGGCCTGAATGTTGGGGACACGTCTCCATCTCTGTCCTGGTGTCCCTCTCTCCCCATCTCGCCAGTTCTGAATCTCTGGCATCCTGGTCAGGGGTCAGGTGGACCTATGCCTTTTTCTCTCTTTCCTCGTCTCTGTAAATCTTTTTCCAAATTTCTAGGGGTTGTCTGCCTTCCCATCCGAGTCTCTCCCCTCCCAACTCTGTGTCTCTCTCCCTTGTCCTGGGGTCTCTGTTTCCTATCTCAGCGTCTCTCCCCATCCCGGGCCTGCCATGGAGGCAGCCAGGAGGGCCCATCCCCCAGTTCTGCCAAATGGGACCTTCAGTGACTCGGAGACAGTCAAGTCCAAGTCCAGGCACTTCTAGGAGACCAACCAGGGCTGCCCTGGAGTTTCCTCTTCCCACTCTAACATAGCCTGGGGGCCCCAGTTAGATACAGTAATTCCTCTATGAGGAAATCAGGACTGGGGAAGCTGTGAGGTGACCTGCTTGGGAGTAGAGGAGGGCAGTGAGCCAGAAGAGAGGCCTGGGGGCTGAGGAGAGACGGCGGCCATGTCTCCAGGCATCTGGCCCCGTCCCCCTTAAATCAGGTTGACAGGCGAGGTCTAGTTAAATTTGAATTTCGGATAAGTGAGTAACACTTTTTTTCAATACTGGTATTTCGTTGGTTTACAGTACTTATTAACATACATACTATTTTTTTCTTATAATAGTTTATTTTTACATCATCTTGTGGCTCTTCCCGTCTCAGTTGTCATCCCCATCACCAGTTCACCGGGTGCCGTCACCATATGAACACCCCCACTACCCCATTTTTGATCCCACCCCCCACTCCACCCCTGTAAAATGTCTCTGGTGTATAGTTGCTCATTATTATTATTATTATTATTATTATTATTATTTTCCCCCTTGGTCTTTTATGTATTTTTCTTTTTCTTTCTGGCTTTTAATACAGATATACTTTTTAAAGTAATACATATGTGCCATGCAGTATTTGGGGTATACTAATTCTAAAAAGATATTTGTTTATGTGAAATTCAAACTTGACTGGATGTCCTGTATTTATCTTGACTAAATCCGAAAACTTACTTTCAAAGGCAAAGGCATCCACAGTCCCTGGCTCCCTCTCTTCCTAGAATCTTGTATTCCAACTCCTAGCTCTCCCACCTCAGGACTTGAGAGACTAGGCTCTTTTTCCCTCCCTACCCAAGAATCAAAGAAAGGGGCACCCAGCCCCTTTCTCCCTCAGAACATGGGGCCCGGTTCCTTTCTCCTCAGAGTCCAGGCGTCCAGGCCTGGGTCCAGTTGCCCAATGTGGGTTTCACAAGGTGGGAGGTGCCTGTCCAAAGCCCTGGTGGAACCAGTTGGGCTGAGCAGACCAGTGAGGGGGGGCCCCCCTTTCATGGAAACCTGCTGCTTCCTGGAGGGCCAGCCCAGAGGGGCTGGGAGCTCTGGGTGCATCACTGTGTCTGGGTTTGGGTGTGTTGCGTCTCTTTTCTGTGGTGTCTCCCGTGTGTCATCTGCGTGGGGACTGTCACCATGTTCCTGTGTTCTAGGGTGTGACACGTGAGAGGGTCTTTTCTGTTTGTGTTTCTATGTTTCCCTTCCGTGGCTCTACACATTGGGCCCCAGTGGAACCATTGAGTGTGTGCTGTGGTTGAGGTTTTATAATTCTGGCTGGATCAAGCAGGACTTATTTATTGAGTAGCAGCCTTATGTGATAGAATCCCAGACCAAAACATTCGAATCCTATCCTAAAGGCTTCTTATTGGCAGTGAAAAATCTTGGGCAAATCACCTAACTTCTCTGGACCTCCATTTTTCCATCTGCAAAATGGGCAGTTGTGAATAAGGTCGGTGAGGGGGCCCGCTGAGTTAACACATGCAGTGTTCAGGCTGTGGGTGGATGTAGGAGGTCTGGCTGAGTGTTTATGATGGTGCTGATGATGAGGCACTGTGATAGTTGCTGGGGTATAGTCGTGAACGAAACTAAATCTTTGCTCATGGTCCTCATAGAGATCGGATGACGGCCTCCATGGCTCATGCGTATCATTACGTAACCGGGGTGTCTGTTTGGCATATGAAATGGGCTATTTCTGTGGGTCTTGCCAGTGCTGGTGATTCCGCGATTGTATGCTTGTTTATGTTTGTGTACATAGGTGACGTGTGATTCTCTAATTGTGTGGGTGCACATGCCAGATCACACAAGCAGGTATCGCAGGGCATACGTTTGCTGTGCTCCTGCATTTCTGACTTTTAGGCACCAGGAGTGTGGCTGTATTTGGGGTCTGGAGAACTTCTCTCTCAGATGCTCCTTCATGTGACCCACAGGTGACGCTGGGAGGGTCACTACTTCCAAAATGAGCCTCGGTTTCCCTCTAATGGGGAGGGTAGACCCAGTGACACTGGGAGAAACACCAGGATGAAAGGGAAGGTGGGAGGAGATTGGCAAGGCCAAGGAGAGTCCTTGGATGCCAGGATGGGGACAGAGGGAGCGATGCATAGAGAGAGGGACGTTTATCTGTTCATCCATAAGCAGTGTGAGTCCCTGAATTTTGCCAGCAGCCCTGGCCAGCATGGATTCAAGGTCTGGGGATGTAGAGAGATGCATTTCCTGCAGGAAAGCTGTTGCTGTCCCAGGGAGACACACTTACTTCCACGGTGGGCCTTAGTGGCATTTGCACCCACACAATTAGAGAGTCACACGTCACCTATGTACACAAACAGTTCTCTCCCTGATCCATCCTGAGGCTTGATGTGTCCAGACCAAAGAACAGGCAGTGGGGAAAGGCCCCTCCTAGGCCGGGGGCAGCCCCATGAATCATTTTCTTACCATCTTCTAATAGGATAATGACACATCTGTCCCCTTCTAATCACTATTTGCGACCCCAACCAGGCAGGTATAACACCCACAGCAAGAAGGGTTGGACCAGCCTGGTATCTGGAGTCAGGGGAGGAAATACCCCTTGGTTTCTCCTACCCTAGAACTCCCACGTCCAGGCCCCAGTACCCCCTACTGCCATGAGTCCCAGCTCTGAGCAGCTCTCCCCCAACTTCATGCCCCTCCCCCCCAATCTTTCTCTGGGGCTGCTTATCAGTATCTATCTACTTTTATCTACATTTTATATCTCTCCTGTCTGCACCTTGCTTCTCCCTCTCTGGACCTCAATTTTCTCACTTGTAAAACGGGGATAATAATAATCATCATATCATCATCATCCCATCTCAGAGCTGTTAGGAGTAAGCATAGTACACGGGCCATTGTAAGTTCCATGCAAAAGAGCTCCCTTATTATTGCTTTCAATATTTTAATCTCTTTATTGGTATGTTCTTCTCTTTTCTCCACCTGAGTGTCAAGTCTCTTCTCCTCCGGGAGCTCCTGAAGAGACAGTTCCCGCCCTTGGTTTCCCTTTAGGCTGAAGAAGGGCCTCAGCTTCTCCCAAGCCTCTTCCTCTCCATTTCTATTCCAAACGGGGCTTTAGGCCCCAGACTTTTGCCTGGGACTAAGCCTGACTCTAGTCTCATAAACAACGACATCAAGTCCTGAACCTCAAATCCCGGGACAGGTCAGGGACTCTTGGAGTCCAGGTGCTCCCCTCCCCAGACTCCAGCCTTCAGGTTCCGCTCCCTTCTCCCCGAGATCCCGGAGCCCGGGAGCTCAGCCTCCTCCTTCAGAAGCAGAAGCCTCGACTCCCTGTCCCTCCCTCCTACACCCGCCGTCCCCAGTTCCCTCAGATCTGGGTCCCGCACATCGGAGAG